GGACGGAATTCTCCCCGATCCAGCCAAGCTTCAGGCCGTGACCGAGTTCCCCAAGCCGACATCCATCAAGGAACTGCGCAGTTTCTTAGGACTGTGTTCCTACTTTCGGCGCTTCATCCGAAACTTCGCGTCTATCGCATCGCCGCTGACAAAACTCCTTGGTAGTAACGGGCCTCTCCATTCGTGGTCATCACAGTGTGACGACGCATTCACAACGCTCCGTCGTTTACTGACGTCGCCTCCCATACTCCGCCACTACGACCCTACTGCCCCTACAGAGGTACACACGGACGCCAGTGGTGTCGGTCTCGGCGCTGTCCTTGCGCAGCGCAAACCAGGGCTCCCGGAATATGTCGTGGCGTATGCAAGCCGTACGCTTACAAAAGCCGAGACTAATTACACCGTCACCGAGAAAGAATGTCTGGCAATCGTGTGGGCCCTTACCAAGTTCCGACCTTATTTATATGGTCGCCCATTTGATGTAGTCACCGACCATCACGCACTATGCTGGTTGTCCTCATTGAAAGATCCCTCAGGCCGTCTCGCCCGGTGGGCACTTCGCCTGCAAGACTACGACATCCGCGTGCTGTACCGCAACGGAAGGCAACATGCTGACGCCGACGCCCTGTCGCGCTCTCCCTTGCCTGACGACAATGCCCACGACTCAGCGTCTCACCTTGCCGTTTCTTCCATTAGCATTCATGCCGTTGCTACTGAACAGCGCAAGGATCAATGGATTGCCTCACTGATAGACTTGCTGACTGATCCATCCACTCCATCCACTCGCGCGTTGCGTCGTCAAGCCCACCATTTCGCCGTTCGCGACGACCTTCTCCACCGACGCAATTACAGCGGTGACGGCCGCCAGTGGCTACTAGTCATACCCCGCAGTCTGCGCTCTGACATATGCGAATTCTTTCATACTGATCCGCAATGTGCGCACTCCGGCGTATCGAAGACTTACCAGCGCATTCGCCAACGGTACTTTTGGCGCGGCATGTACCGCTATGTGCAGAAATTCGTTCGCTCCTGCATAGAATGTCAGCGCCGCAAAACTTCAACGCACCTGTCGCCGGTAGGTCTGCAACCTCTACCTTGCCCTGCCAGGCCGTTTGGGCGCGTTGGCATTGATTTGTATGGGCCACTTCCACTAACGTCGGCCGGTAACCGCTGGGCCATTGTTGCTGTGGACCACCTCACGCGATACGCCGAAACTGCCGCTCTCCCCGCGGCTACAGCGAGCGATGTGGCCTCCTTCCTGCTCCAACGATTCATGCTGCGACACGGTCCACCTCAGGAACTGCTCAGTGATCGAGGCCGCGTCTTCCTGTCTGAAGTCGTCGAAGCCATTCTCAAAGAGTGCAACGTTGTTCACCGCAAAAATGCTGCTTACCACCCGCAGACGAATGGCCTTACTGAACGCTTCAACCGTACGCTCGGCGACATGCTCTCCAAGTACGTCGCCGCCGATCACACAAATCGGGATTCCATTCTACCCTTCGTCACCTACGCATATAACACCGCCCCTCAGAGCACTACTGGCTTTTCACCTTTCTTTTTATTATATGGAAGGCACCCGTCGCACACCATCGACACTATACTTCCGTACAAGCCAGATCCGTCAGAGTGGGCGCCTATTTCTGCTACAGCCAAGCTTGCTGAAGAGTGTCGAGAGCTCGCAAGGACCTTTACAGCGCATGATCAAGAGCGGCAAAAAGGCATTCGCGATGACACCAGCACTACTGCGCCCATGTTCCTCCCTGGAGCGCTCGTCTGGCTCTCGACCCTACCACTTCAACTGGCCTATCTTCAAAACTATTGCCCAAATACGAAGGCCCCTACCGTGTCGTCGAACGCACTTCCCCTGTAAATTACTTGATCGAACCCATCGAACCATCTTCGGACATGCGCCGTCGAGGGCGCGACATTGTCAACGTGGAGCGCCTCAAAGCCTACCACGACCCGCTCATAGTAACCAGCTGCTAGGTCGCCAGGCGGCTCCCTCTTCGTACCCGGGGTAGTTGTGGTGAAGCCTTCGAACAGTGGGTCGTCCTCTCCAGCGCCTTCTAGTGGGTTGCCCTTTTTAGCAAGAAGAAGAGCAGCTCGTGCAGAGAGTCGGTACCCGCATTGACTGTCACTGTCAAGCATCGTCGACAACCGTCCGCCAATAAACGTCTCAACAATATATATATATATATATATATATATATATATATATATATATATATATATATATATATATATATATATAGCCACTGCCACATATTAGATACAGCTGATTTGGACCATGTCTTATCGGACCACACAACACCGTACTGTGCACCAGTTCATATTATTGCCATTGTTTTCGGTCACTGTGTGGGTAAAAATGTTGAAATTATCTAGCGACGAGGCCACAGCATGGCAAATGTAGTCGCCAGAGCATTCCGTATAGCACGAAAAGTGCCGATACAGTGCTTGACAATAACGGCAGCACACATCATGCACACAAAAAGCTCATAACTTATATTAGAAAGCTCAGTTTTCTAAAAAATTGCATCCGTCGACAACCCATCTGACTTAAAATAGGCATCAAACACATGTCGTAGATGACAGCTCAATACCGTCTTGTTTGAGAGCGTCCGTGCTTCGCCATCTGTGAATTCTGGTCATGCTTTTTATAGTCGGAGAACCAGCTTCGCCCCTCGCCTAGATCAAACCAGTTTTTCAAGATCTCTTGGGTCGACCTTCTTTTTCTGTGTTTAGCGCAAAAACGCACCTGTGTAATTTTCGAATTGACTCGACATATATGACTTCTTAGAAAACTCTATTTTTGCACAAACTGACGGCAATCAAAAGCGAACGCAGGACATGAGACCAAACACAAACCGCAAACACTTACTCGCGTGAAAAGGCACCCCCACCCTCTCCTCCTAACAGCGGAACCCTGAACTATGCAACTAGCTGACGAAGTGGCGAAGTCCCACATGCTAGGTTGAGAGCCTTAATATAGCCACAAGAAATAGAAATCATTCTAGACCAGTGTCATGCTTCTGCATCGAAGCGATTGCGTATAGCACGTTTAGGCATTGATCGCATTATTGGTTCATTTCTTCTTGCTCACTCAACACAGGGCGTTTGCGGCTCTTCTACACTATCCCATTCCCGACTTCCACAAGTCTTCGTCTCCTTTTTCGTTAAAAAATAAAGGGAAAATATACGCCTCTGAATAGACACGTACGTGTAGTGTACCGTTTCCCCATCTCTAGACGCTCTCCAAGCAAGCATACCATCACCTCCGGGTAAAACATCAGTTTTCTCGACTCACGCGGATCAGAACGTGACCTCATTGTTCGCAAGGACGTTGAGTGTCCCCCGTAAAGGAGTCGTCTATCAACGTTGTTGACTTGACACTAGATTCCGTGATTTCTCTAGCCTTTCTTGGAACGGGACTGTGTTGACTCTCTTCTTCTTGCGTCGCTGTCGACGCAAAAAGATCCTCAATTTCGCTTCATTGCGATGATCTCCCTATCCGTCCGAGAAGTGCTCGCTTCATATTATACGTGCTTCCCAATTCACATGGAACTGCATATCCACCGACGGTTTCTGCTCTAGCTCTCGCCTTTGACGTCACAAATGCTGGTCATAAAGCTTCGTATGCACCCGCGAGTGCAGCCTTCTTTCGGCTACGTGAGCCGGCAATCCATATTTCAACGCCTTATTTGCAAAGATCGGCCTCTTTCTTCAATACTGCATCAATGTCTTCCGAGCTAACCTTGCGAAGCGCTCGAGTGTGTAGGCTGTAGGGACATTTCCGCAAATATCAATCTCTCGTGAGGTGTGATTCCTTACAGTAACGCGAAATATTGGCTTCGAAAGGTCACTCAAAGTCCTCAGAGGAAGCATGTAAGAATATTTGTTCACTGGTGTTGCAGTGGCCTTCGGTTTTTTAGGACTGCTTATATTAAATCGCGCTTCCATGGACGTATACTTTCCGGCTATATGAAACATACGTAGCTCTCATTGGACTGTATGTGGGAATGCATGATTTTTGGTTATAAAACTCATCTTAAGAGCAGCTAACTATTGAAATTATGTTCATTTGTTATTTAGCTCAATAGAAATATCAATTTTTCTAAATTTGGCGTGTGTACCAGTTGTCTTCATGCGACCGGTATATGGTACCGTGTTAGAGAAGCGACAGAGCATTTTTTCGAAGTATCCAATAGTGGCAACCTGATGATAATTCAATTGAGTAATCGCGTGGGTGCAATATATGCTTGTTCACATTGTATTGCAAGTTGCACAGAGGCAACGCTATGAAATTGTAGCGGTACGTATAATTCATGCTAACTTCGTGAGGGGCATAAACCCGGCTTGTTGGAACCATAGTACGTGCTTCTATGTCGAAATAATCATAATATGTCACGTTCACGACAATATACGGGATAAAAATTAATTTTCCAAGAGACAGGGGTAACCACGCCCCCGTACCCCCCAAAAAAAACTTAAAAGGCGGCTTGACGATATCGGGAGACTTCAAGAGATCCAGAGGCGCCAGATTGCAGATATTTTCATCGATAACTGATAAATACTGCCACTATTAGAAATAAATTATCAGCCTATTAACAGCCTGAGACCGTTGATGGGCACTGGCTGTGAATGTATAAACCCAGAAACACAAGGAAGTATATCGAGCAGTTTGTAACGAAAAACTAAGGCAAAGTAGTACGTGTCTCGCAAGAAAGCATGAGGTGGAATTTTGCGCATTCAAAATCAGTTAATCTTCTAACGGATAACAGTACAATAAATAGGTGAGGAGGTTGGAAAGTTCACTTTTTGTTTTTGTCTGGTGCAATCTTTGTCATCACAGACTGATGGAGGATTTGTTATTAATATCCGTTAAAATGGTCCTAGACAATGTTCAGCGTTGAGATTTTTCTGCGCTGATAATGTTCTTGAGTTTCATTACCCCGCGTTCTGAAACAATGGCAGCATCTGACCCCCCAAATATTTCTCAGAGACTCTACAGAAGTACAAGTTCGAGAACGTGATGACCCTGGATAAACCGTCGTGGGGCTACAGACGCAACGCTCAGCTCAAGGACTACGTCACGGACCACGAGCTGGTAGCCACTCTCGTGGAGACCATCAGCTGCGGTGGCAACCTTCTCATCACGCTGGGCCCCACACACGACGGCCGCATCCCTATGGTGTTCGAGGAACGGCTCACCAGCCTGGGCGCCTGGCTAGCACTGCACGGCGAGGCGGTCTACGCCAGCAAGCCGTGGGCAGCACAGAACGATTCGGTCTCTGCTGACGTGTGGTACGACAACTCTTTGCTCAGACATACTTTAAGGCAATACAAGGCAAAGGTACAAGAAGAAAAGGTGAAACGTAATAAGAAATGGGATATATCTGCTTGCTGCAACACACCCCTGAACAAAATTTACTTTGGGGATGAAATAACTATGTGATGAAGTTAGCTTGACAAAGAGTGGACAAAAACACCGAAGAAAAGAAATGCGATAAAGGTTTAGTATTTAGCCCTTGAGTCAATTCTTCGGGAAAAGGTACTTGCATTCAAGCGTTACGAGCTTGCTTCGTGTTTTTTTTTCCTAATACCTTCCGTTTTTTTAAAGGCTAAATTATGAGTTACGCAATACAACGTAACAGAGACAGTATTTGCTAAAGAGCCAGCAAACCGTCTCCGTCTTCTACTTTGTGCTAGCTGCTCGCGTGGCAGAGCCCCGGTGTCATTATTCATCATCGCAAATATGCTAAAATATGATTGACAAGGCAAAGAAAAACACTTGCCCGTTATGGCAATAAAAAAGATGGTTTGCCGAAACTAAGAAATTTGCAAGCAAAGTGAAACCATGTCACACAGTACAAAACCAATACTCCTAATTTAGGTGTCCGATTACTTTGTGATAGCCAGAAATTTTGTGGTGTGATAAAATGCGGGTGTGGTAGCGTTGATTTGACTAAATATTTTCCTATTTGTCTATACTTTAAGGCACCTTATTGTTCCCACTTTGCTTGGAACAAACAGAGTGAAAAGGGACACATTTCTCTTATTGTGAAACCTGAGCTTCCCCCCTCCCCACCCCTACCGGGGGGAGCTTATTATGGAAAACCGACACTATTTGCCAGGAATTTAAGCCCAAAGAAAGCGAACAACTTTTAGCGGAAAGTTGGTGCGGGCAACGCAAAAATAATTTTTGCAGTTTTTCAGCAAGTGCTCTATCAGTATTTAAAACTAAAGTTCATGCAAATTTTGAATTCTATATAACGCCGCCTTGATTTACTGCAAGCATCAACATAGAAATACTTGAGACTTTGAGCTAGCCGCAGTAATACTGCGAGAACAAACAGCGGAGGAGATAGCATTACCCACGTCATTAGAATTGCTTGTTGGCCTCACTTGCAGTAACGCTTCAGCAGGGAATTTTGCTGATTAACAAATACTTTATACAGCAGAATACACAGATATATAGAAGCACATATGTTGCGCTGCATATATTTATGTACATAAGACGCTCTTGAGGTCATCAAGTTATTAGCGATACCAGTTCTATGACACCATTCATCAGCGAATTGTTTTTTTTTTTTGTGTTCCCAGCTCATTGAAAAAAAAAAGCATGATATTTCTGAGGCCCTATACGCAAATAAAAAAAGACGCAAACTGCAGAGGTGAAGAGAACAAGCAGAATTCGTTAAACTTTCCAGTTTTGCGCTTGCAAAGCTAGTACGTAGCCTTGTACTTGTTAATTGACTCGAAAAAATAAAGCACGCCGTGACACTAAAGCATTTGTTACGTTTATTACACTTTAGTTATAGGATGTTCTTTTACGAGAAGGCACTCGTTACTTTAAATGAAAGAACTCTGCAACGAAGTACAGGACGCATTGGGACAAGGTTTAAAGTGATCAAGCTCGAGATTGCTATTTTACAAGTGTAATATCGCGTGTGAATGTCAGTAGGGGCTTTACAGATGTTATTGTTTCATATTTTACTCAGTGGACTCGTTCGGAGCATGTAGCACACTGCAAACTTCAAGTACTATGCCATTTCTACCGCTTCTGATTTTGTAGCGATTGCTTAGAAGTACAGTTTAACGGAGAATTTGGTGAATGTTCCAAGCGTACTATGCTATTGGGTGAGAATGGACGCGCCAAAAATAACTGAACAATTTTCATGGGCAAGATGCGTTTCTGAGTTTCAGACAAAATAACTGCCTTGTCGCTTTCCTTTCCAGAGCTCACTAAGCAGTAAAGTGCTCGTAATAGTGAACAGCTCGAGTCATTTATCTGAAACTTACTGCGTGTGCAAAAAATAAGCATAATATTTAATTTGTGAAAATTATATTTCAACACCTTTCCCTATTTTCCTGCAGTCTGGTGGGATATTGCGCGATATTCGAAAATTGAGAAGAGAAATTTGAATCCATGAATCACGACGAATAACTCCACAACACTTCTGAAAGTCCTGATTGAGCGTTTCAGTCAAGTCGCGCGCACAACAATCTGCGTAGATCGCACAAACAAGAACTTCAGCAATTGCAGTAGTCAGGTATCAGAGACGAAAGTTGTCCCTTCCGCGAAAGGACCCAATATTGCCGCAATATATGTGATCCCCCTTTATAAAACACCCGGATATCTTCCGCGTCGGTGCTACCTTTCACACACGCTCCGTGCCACGTGTCGGAAGACGTTATAGGAGAACTCTACACCTTGTTTGCTTTGAATACCCAGAAAGAACAGGCGGCGCAATAGGCGTCTCCTTACTGTGTGTTATCAGCTTCACTGTCTTCACCACACCTGTTATCGTCGCACGCCGTTGTAGTCTCAGGTGGTCAATGTTCTTGCCAAGCCGCTGTTGTTTAGAGGAATTTTGTGAATGTGCGACGATTCCAGGATAAAGACAGCGCGAGGAATTCATTGACATCAGATATGAAGAGTCCGCAATTCGAGAAATAACAGTGTGGTCATCAACCCCCTTTTGTGTACTGCAGTCACAGGTTGCTGCCGATAAACAGTCCACCTGTAATACTTGCGTAGCAATATGTATCGGAGATTGAAACAAACAAAGAAACAATTGTGTCCTAGATATACGATTCCTCCCTATCAGCTCCGTTATGCTACTGATGACTTCGGGCTGTTTCCTTAGGTTCGCAGTCTTTCGATCTCAGCCGTTAGTGACGTCGAAGAGTGTAAACCTGTCGAAGGGGCTATTGAGAGATATATACAGAATCAAGTTGCCAGCATTTAGGTACACGTGTACATGTTTACGCAAGCCTAAATTCGAATGGAAGCTCTACGCAATAAACCGAATTTCATGGCAAACAAATCTTCGGCAACAGGAGCTGGTACAAATTTCTTCAGTTTGCTTTCAGACAATTTGAGATAATGTATGAAAAATAATGACATGACCTAAAAAAGAACTAAATATGACTTTGAAACGTTCCATCGAATGGCGAATATTGCTTACACTAATCAAATATTTCTGTTCTACATGAGGCAGGCAGATTTATCAGGAAAACAGGGGGTTAATGATTGGGGGTTTGATATTAAGAGCAAAATGTGTATCTTAGTACAACCCCTTTCCCACACAAAAAAAAATATATGCGGGGGACGTGAGCTCTAAAATATTCAGTTTCGTGTTCATGTAAACTTGAATGCGCTTGTGAGATGTAAGCACCTAGCAACAATGCCACAAGTAGGACGCAAATTGAGATGATATGTGAAAGTTTACTAGTGAAACAAGTATTGTCAACGTCATGGAAGATTAGCGTGGTGAACACAGCACCTAAACTGGCACCCGACGAGGAGTGCAGTTCCACAACACTTCTGAAAGTCCTGATTGAGCGTTTCAGTCAAGTCGCGCGCACAACAATCTACGTAGATCACACAAACAAGAACTTCAGCAATTGCAGTAGTCAGGTATCAGAGACGAAAGTTGTCCCTTCCGCGAAAGGACCCAATATTGCCGCAAGATATGTGATCCCCCTTTATAAAACACCCGGACATCTTCCGCGTCGGTGCTACCTTTCACACACGCTCCGTGCCACGTGTCGGAAGACATTATAGGAGAACTTTACACCTTGTTTGCTTTGAATACCCAGAAAGAACAGGCGGCACAATAGGCGTCTCCTTACTACGTGTTATCAGCTTCACTGTCTTCACCACACCTGTTATCGTCGCACGCCATTGTAGTCTCAGGTGGTCAATGTTCTTGCCAAGCCGCTATTGTTTAGAGGAATTTTGTGAGTGTGTGACGATTCCAGGATAAAGACAGCGCGAGGAATTAATTGACATCAGATATGAAGAGTCCGCAACTCGAGAAATAACCGTGTGGTCATCAACCCTCTTTTGTGTACTGCAGCCACAGGTTACTGCCGATAAACAGTCCACCTGTAATACTTGCGTAGCAATATATATCAGAGATTGAAACAAACAAAGAAACAATTGTGCCCAAGAAATACGATGCCTCCCTATCAGCTCCGATATGCTACTGATGACTTCGGGCTGTTTCCTTGGGTTCGCAGTCTTTCGATCTCAGCGGTTAGTGACGTAGAAGAGTGTAAACCTGTCGAAGGGGCTATTGAGAGATATATACAGAATCAAGTTGCCGGTATTTAGGTACACGTGTATATGTTTACGCAAGCTTAAATTCGAATGGAAACTCTACGCACTAAACCAAACTCCATATGGCAAACAAATCTTCGGCAAGAGGAGCTGGTACAATTTTCTTCAGTTTGCTTGCAGACAATATGAGATAATGTATGAAAGATAATGACATGACCTAAAAAAGAACTAAATATGACTTTGAAACGTTCCATCGAATGGCGAATATTGCTTACACTAATCAAATATTTCTGTTCTACATGAGGCAGGCAGATTATCAGGAAAACAGGGGGTTAATGATTGGGGGTTTGATATTAAGAGCAAAATGTGTATCTTAGTACAACCCCTTTCCCACACAAAAAAAAATATATGCGGGGGACGTGAGCTCTAAAATATTCAGTTTCGTGTTCATGTAAACTTGAATGCGCTTGTGAGATGTAAGCACCTAGCAACAATGCCACAAGTAGGACGCAAATTGAGATGATATGTGAAAGTTTACTAGTGAAACAAGTATTGTCAACGTCATGGAAGATTAGCGTGGTGAACACAGCACCTAAACTGGCACCCGACGAGGAGTGCAGTTCCTCACCCCTCTCCGTGGGTGCAGCCAGGAAGTGGTATACCGCTCCCGTGCTCCTCCTCCCGCAAATTTCACCATAGCGTTAAGAAGTAAAAATGAACATGTCAAGGAGGTACTCTCCCTTTCGAAATCTAACAGTTGCCCTTCACCCCTCTCCCGGAAAAGATTTCTGGCTATGCTCCTGCCCCTTTCACTCATTTCTCAGGCTGCTTTCAAGGACGCACCGGTTGCTTAGTAGGCCAGAATTGCTTTTTTTATATCCTTGAGAAGACACGCGCTTTAAAGGCCTCAAACGCGGAAGCACCAGTATCATTTCAACCTCTACCTCGTGCCGGTCCTTGATTCGAAAACTGTTCATTTGCTGACATCAATGCTCGAAGAAAAGTGATCCTAGGCGCTTTTGCTTTGTGGGGCGTTAGTTTCTTGTGGCTTTAGGCCATGGGCGAAGGATTCGCAGCGCAGCAAACTAGTATCAATCAGCAAATATCGATTGTATATACAGATAGGTAGACCTGTTACAACTCGGTTTCATACTTTCCGAACAGAAACCTCTAAATCACTGTAGAACAGTACCAAACAAATGATTCTTTGTCAGGGGACCTTGAAGAGTAGCGCTGAACACCTTATATAATGTAGGAAGTAGAAGCAAGACAGCTTTAATTTGAACGTACTGCTATTATCACTGTCTCTGCTTCTAGTATCACCATGATTGCCACTCAAAACTTTTTTTCTGCGCTGCGTTAAAGTTGATAATTCTACTTTTAGTCCAGTGTTTACTTTAAAAAAACACTTTATATGAATCTGGATGGCCAACGCTTTTCTGAAGGCGTCGCAGAAGTGGCCTCTTTAACGTCCTCTTAAATTTGTATATGTTGCCGTAGTAGTGTAGTAGTCATTAACCCCTGTTCCTAATTCTCTCCAAAAGCTCTTGACAATGCTTATTCTGCTTGATTAAATTTGGGAAACAAAACGCACAGCCGCTGGAAGGAATATAAAGCTTTTTCGCTCTTGACGCAAAAATGATTGCCTTTTCATCACTGACAATCGAGCTTTGCATATGCAGTGTAAGCAGTCTTTTTCTTTTTTTTTTTGCTCTTCACGCGAATCGTTTGTGAGGGAATAAGCGTGCTTTCGTTCATCTAAAAATCAATTCATCCATTTCAGGTACACAACCTCAGACTTCCCTCCACCAGTCCCATTACCACCCACTGAACCACCTTCTTCCATGGCGGACCCTCACGACAGCTACTTCCGCCCCAAGACCGGACCTCCTCCGACGACCCCGGTGCCCGACAAGGGTCCCGTGGTCTACGCCTTCCTGCTCCAGTGGCCCGCCAGCGGGTTTCTGCGGCTCGGCTCAATGTACTTCAACGCGAAAACGCACGTGCAACTCATTGGTCATGCCCCACGACTCACGTGGAAACCAGTGGGTCAGCTGGTGCTGATAGACTTGCCGCCGCCCCCGGTTAACATCGCGACGCGCGTCGGAGTCTGGGTGCTCAGAATAACAAATGTGGAACCCACACCGCCTCCGGGAGCTTTCTGAGACGCTGCTGCTCAAGGCCTCAGCATTGCCTACACTCCTTCAAGTGTAAAGAGCTCATTCAATAAATGTGTATTTGCAATGCAACTCCTTTGACAGATTTAGCCGTGAATTTTATAAAAGGATTGATATGCGAGTTTTAACGTCTCTGAACCACAATATGATTATGAGAGACGCAGTAGTGGAGGGCTCCGAAAATTTCGACCACCTAGGGCTTGATATTAAAAGCAAAATGTGTACCTTATTACAATTTCTTTTCTAACCCGCAAGCTGATAATTTGTCAAGTGTCTTTACCTAACCTGTTTTTTCCTCTCACAGTACCATCCGTGGCCTAAAATGATAGCCAAGCTAGTGCATACCCATTGTATTCAACGAATGACTGACGTTCAGTATTCACTGCCAGTATTCGCTCAAGTTCTCTGGTTTCGGTTAAACAGACGATGTTGGCTTGTCACAAAAAAGTCGAGGGAATATTAGGAAATATTTGCTCGTACTCTGTAATATTGCCGAGAAATTGAGAAAAGATTAGCAGTGTTGCCTTGCTACAGAGAAATGTCGGTTAGTGTTTCCGTGTGTCGGATAAGCCACAGTTAGTGGTGACTAGACGCAGGCAAGTGTCGCTTAGAGTGCTACTGTGGGTTTAACGTAATCCGCAGGTACAGTGGTACCTATGTTGCCATGCATCATCCTTTGGTAAGATCTTTCCTGATGCACAGAAAAAATATCAGTTCATTGACAAAAAGAAATCCTTGACATAAACACAAATATTTTCGGCTGGTGCTATTTAGCCTACCTTGCTGTTGTAAGAGGATATGCTTAAGATGTAAAAACGAAACAGAAAACGACAGAGTGCGTGCGACATATTAATAATACCCATAAATTCAGTCCTTATGATCTACCCGACATTTCGCGAATCACCCCTTTTTTTGGGGGGGTGAGTGTATCCATAATTGTTTCCTTACCCCTAACTCTGTCTGTACCCGAGAGCCCACGAACCACAGCTCTTATACTAGAAATATTGCACGGATTATTTTTTCTGTGAGTGTACCAATATATATGGCATCAGATGCCATTACATTTCTGTATTACGTTGCAGAGCCTAACACCTACAAAGTTTTTTTGTGTGTGTTAGTGTACCAATGTATATAGCATCGAATGCCATTACATTTATCTATTACGTTGCAAAGCCTAATAGCTACAAGTACTTACTTGAGGCAAGTGTTTTTCAGCAAACTCGCAAAGGACATTTCATTTCTCTGTCGGTCTCTATTTATTAACGCCTGTTGTCGCTAACTGTTGGTGCTTTATAGTGCAGATCGTTGGTGACGATAAGTTACTATGTCACTTCTGATATTGACCATGTTACCGCTTGCGAAATGGAATCCGGCTACTCTTACGTTTTATCAATTGTAGCTAAGACCAAGGGTGCGGGTAGGAAAAGCACTGTAGACTTATTCAGTCGTTGGCACACCATCCTAACGAATACGTACTGCATATACACTTAGCAGTGTTAGGTAGATTGTAAGTCATACTTGCACTTTATTGGTTAGCTTTTTTCCCACTTCGAGCAGCATAAAGTGTGAAGACGGACAGTCGTATTATTTGAAGTAAGCCGCCAACGCCTGAGCCCCTCTAAAACGATTGTTTGGTATTTTTACCACATCTACCATACCTTTATTTATTGCATTGATAAACTGAAGCAATGCAATGTGGAAATATTTAGTAGTTTTCAGTACAGAACGCAGCTTAGGAATCATGCAAAGAGTACGCTGCAAGTATGTGAAGTTCCACTCGCGTTACAGAATGCACCAAAAGCAGTGTGGTCATCAAAAAAAGCAAAGTTTATTGTAGGTGGACCTAAACAAGATTGCTGAGCACCTTGCTGAATGGCTGAACATATTATTTTACCACACACTTCTAACCCGTGTAGAGTGCATGTGACTCATTTTACAGCAATTTTGCTTGGAATATCCTTGGGTAAGATATTCTCCAAACTCCGTGAATGAAACAATGACCTTTCTTCCTCACAAGTGAGCGTTTCGTTTATGACACAACCCTGGAAACTCTAGTTTGCGTCGTCAGTTCATTCCACTCTCTCGTACGCTTGGTTCATTAACTGCTCACTCAGCTAGCCACGCAGTGGTCGTTGAACTGACATCACAATCCCTTTCAGTAAGAAGACGAGAACACTTGACGTCACCAGACCGTTCTTTTTTATTTTTGCTTTTTCTTTCAGTATTGAATATGCACGTGGGCAGAATTTATGATGTATCTGATTAGCACGACGTGAACGAAAACTAAGAAAAAGAAGCTTTTCTAACGCAATAAATTTTTTCATTAGATGCCGAAGAATGAATACCAGAGAAGGCTCTCTTGAGACCTTCTTCGGTCATCCGAGAAGCAGACGCTATTACGGAAATTGAGATAAGCTGAAGTCGACAACCTCAGGTCATTCGCCGGACATCGGGTCGCTCATTAGTTTTCTCAAGCAGGTCATCGCACCTCGCAGAGGTGGTCAAATGCGCTGATTGGACAATGGCAAAAAAAAAGAGAAGGCCCATTTGAAACGCTGCTTATGCAAAACGCGGAGCGATAATCAAATCATTGCGTAATGCAATCCCCGTTTCAGAAACTACATGTAGCAACTAAATACCATTCTTCTTTTGGGGTAACTTGACTAAGGAAGAAAGAAACTGTGTTTTCAAGTGTGCAGAAACTTAGGAGGCCGGGCTGTCGTATAGGCTCTGATCGTATGCTGTTGTCATCGCTTGGCGTATAGCAGGTGAAACCACATACATCATGGCCATGTGGGCGGCAACTCACACCTCAAAAAAGTCTTCTTTCTGTTTTTTAATCGCATTGGCGATGATATTCACGCAAGCAGAACCGCGTATATGTAGAGGCAGATCCTAAACATTTAGCTCACACCCACTTTGGGGTTTATCAGAACCATTTGAGTGCGTGTTGGATTCAAAGAGGTCATCTTCTGCTTGTTGTTTACGAGCGCCTTGCTAATATGAAGCGCGGTGACCGTTGTGGTGTCGACTGCCATATAGTTAATCGCGACGTACCGTTGCAAAAGCCACTTAGAAAAATTGGAAAAGGAAATAAAAGTAAAAACTCAGAGAAACAGAAAAAAATCTTGAAAGAAAATAGAAATATATAAAATTATAGAGAGAAACTAGAGAAGAGAAAAGAAGGCGTACAATAGCAAGAACAAATGCATGAGAAAAAAGCAAATAGCTACAAAAACCATGAAATGAATTCACTAGAAGAGCTTATTGCCTCACAAATTAAACGCCGCAAAATTTTAAAAATCCGTTCAGTGCGAGTGGAGTTACGAAGGTTTGTCACATGCTGCATTTGCATTGTCTTTTCTCTCGTCCCGACAAAAGCGCTAGAAGCTAAGCAGTGAGGGGTGACAGGGCAAAGAAACTACCACGCCTCTTGACCTTGAACACCTTTTTTTTTCTTCGAGTGCGCGGTTTTTTCGGCGTGATTACGTGCGCACGCGTTGACAAGTAGCGGCGTCCCACAGCTATAACGGTAACTTGATCTTTCGGTAACAGACACACACACGTTTTTTTGCTCAAATCCAACGGGGTCAACGCCATCGGCGTGTTTTCTGTGACACGAGCTCTTTAAGTCTATCGCGTTAATAAGGCTGCTTAGCTCAGCACTCCCTTCAGGTTTATCCACACTAGTGCAAAGCTGGCAATATGTTCGTGTGGATTCGGCACTGCGGCGATTGTTCAAAAACCTCTGTATTCAGTTATCCGAAAATGAAGCAGTAGTCAAGCTGGGGCAATAGAGAAACAAATATTTCCTTCATGGAGGCAACTGGAATGCCGTTCGGAGGAAGAGGAAAAATAACTTTATTCATATAAATTGGCGAGCAAGAATACGGTAATTAGGCCGGCCGAACCACTTGATTTAGACCCATACTGTAGCACACCACTCTGCAAGCCTGGTTTGTTGATGTCGGTTTGTGCTCCTGAATGACTTATATTGGATGCTTTTTCCGAAGGAGCTTGCTACAAGAGTTCATCTGGTTTTGGTGCTTGCGCAGCCCCAGTACATCATGCCTAAGAGGAATGTTGAATATTTCTATATCCCCAGAGTTGCCGGTTCCCCTCATAATGGGCGGAATTCTTGATTTTTTTTTTCTGTTGCTTATATAATTTGCCATCGCTTAGCACGGATTTCACGGCGGGAGTGGGGGGGGGGGCTATCTGCATTTTTTGATGATATAGGTATTTTAGCAATCATTAAACCCCTTTTGTCGATGGATTTCAGGAGTTTTCAAGTCAAGCATACGTTTGGGGACTCAACAACTAACCTAAAACATGTAAAAGCAAATATTCGTTCAACCACATGAAGACTACTTTGTAGACAATCTCAAATAATGAGCTAGCGCTTTCGTTCATAGCGAAGTGAATTTTCTGTGTACAAAACCGTCGCGTCCACTTTTTTATTTTACACCACTTCACATTTGAGAATCATTTTTTTAGTATAAATCAACTATTTCACAAATATAAATGTTGTTACTGAGGCACTCTTTTTCGGCTTCTGTTGCAATACTCATTTACAATTTATCTCGTAAGATTTTGGGATTATGTAGCTCTTCATGTATCCCGCACACTGTCGTGCAGGAGAACATCACGTGGACCTTTGTAAACACTTCCAAGGAGGGGGCGCTAGGTAGGAGGGGTCGATATTAACACCCCTCACAAATTAAAAAAAGACAGACAGACAGACAGACAGACAGACAGACAGACAGACAGACAGACAGACAGACAGACAGACAGACAGATAGATAGATAGATAGATAGATAGATAGATAGATAGATAGATAGATAGATAGATAGATAGATAGATAGATAGATAGATAGATAGATAGATAGATAGATAGATAGATAGATAGATAGATAGATAGATAGATAGATAGATAGATAGATAGATAGATAGATAGATAGATAGATAGATAGATAGATAGATAGAT